CTGGCACCTCTCCTTTCCTTTTATATCTTACAAAGGGCAAGGTCAAATTTTCTCCCACAGGTGGAAAATTAGGAAAGGTGAATCTTGGTGGAAGATGGCTCACTGTGCCCCACCCCCAGCCCCATCCCGTTGCTGAAAAGCGTGTGCTGAACGGGGAGATTTACAGGCTGTGCCACACAGCGGGTACTAAGAAGGCAGTAATCAGTATCTTCATCTTCAAGTGAGCCTGAACGCTGTGTGTGTCCAGAGCAGCCAGAGCTGAAATATATTCAAGAAGACCTAAGGCTTTACTTCCAAGAAGGATGGAAAATACCTGAGCATGCCACTGCGAGCTCATAGTAATGCTGCTTCATGTAAAAAGTTGGTAATTAGTCCCTGAGTGAATAAAGTAGAATAGATGATAAGAGATTGGTACTTAGAGGAGAAGCAGAAAATGCTTTTGCTAGTCACCAAAATGTAAAGGCTATAGAGAAAGGGTTGGGATACCTCTGTTTCTTTATGTACAATTTCCAACCCAGAATTTGCAATGATATGGTTCATCAACTTGTGTTTTTAAATTGTATTAAAATGAAGCTTACATAAATTTGAATGGCACGTGTAGCCTGCCGAATGTAGGAGAGTTTGAGATCCAGTGCTACAGAGCTGATGGGAATTTGGGGTTCATATCAACCTCTGCTCCTCCAGCTAGGTCACTCTCTAAAAGTCCAGGTATAATGCAGATGCTATTTTTAATACAGGAACTGAACACATCTCATAAATTCTTATTTCTGGGGGCTCTTAGAACATATCATAATTTGTCCAGATTCTGTTTTCTCACATAACTTAATGTCCATTCATGTGTGAATTTTTGGTATAGGGATTCCTGCTATAGGTGAATTAAGACTCCTGTATACACTGGCTCCTATTTAGTACTTAATGTGGAACAGGACTTGATTTGTAGAAGGAACCTCCCAGAGAAAATGGTGAAGATTTCAAAATGTTTTATGCTTAAATTTTCATGAAAGGGCATCATGGATTAGGGGAAGGGTTGAGGTGGGTGGATGAAATAGGTGATGGGGATAAAGAGGCACAAAATCTCAGTCATAATATAAATTAGTCACGGGGATGAAAGTGCAGCATAGAAAATATAGTCAGTAGTTCTATAACATCTTTCTATGTTGATAGGTAGTAACTACACTAGTTGGGGTAAAGATTTAAGAAGGATTTAATAATGTGGGTAACTGCTGAATCACTGTGCTATATATTTGAAACCAATATAATATTGTGTATCAACTATACTTCAGTAAAAAAAAAAACAGGTATCAGTTAGGTAGAAGTAAATCTTCACTTACATAGAAACATGTTTATGATATTTTGTTATTTGGGAAAGATTAAAGAGGCATGGGGACAAATAACTTATATAATGGGTTCATATTAATAAGCAGAAAAGTAAAGATTACAATCAGTACCATCATGACTTAGTTGGGACTGAGATATTACTGTCTTTGGGGACCTCTTTCCCCCTAAAATATTTTAATATTTATATTTTACAACTATGTTGGTACAAGACAAATATATTAATCTTAGATACTAAAACATTTTCTTTGTCCTTAAAAATAAAGGACAGAAATTAGCAGAAAAATCAACTCCATCATGAGTTTTGTGGGAGCACACTTAGAGCGGCGTCTTCCTAGAAAGTAAATACAAGTGAGCCACATAAAACAGAGAATTCCAAGTTTCTCGCAAAGCCAGGTAATCTGTATTTTGGTGATTATCTTCTCCATCGCTTTTAAGCCCTTGGGAACTGTCTCAACCAAGGTGGAGAAAACGAGGCTGGAGCTGCAAGAGACTCAGGAATAGGGGGACCTGATTCCAGATCCGAATGGGAATGTGGGCATGTTTCCCGTAAAGCAGACCTGAGCAGTGAAAATCCTCATTGGCAAGACATGTAAATTAAGATTTAACTATTCAGATCACAACAGGGTCCACCACAAGATTCTCTGAGTAGAAAACACTATTGTAAAATGTTTTAATATTTTATTTCAGGTTTTGAATTAGAGAAAGAAAGGGAATTGGCTTATAAGATACTTAACAGTTAGTGTAATAGGTAATTTCACAGTTCTAACAGTCTCAGACAAATACACCCATAATCCGAAGCGAGCATTTGTGGATGTTCTCTGGGGACGCCTGGACTATAGCACATACAGTTCCTCCCCAAGATGCTTTTAGACCACACAGGGAAGTGACCAGTTAAGGAGGCGGCACAAATGCAGCAAGAGACCCGTAGCTGAGGAGAGAGCCAGCCAGCAGAGCCGTGGTCCAGGGACTCTGGTCAGTAAATGAGTAACTCAATCAAAATCATTTTCTTTTTCTGTTCTTCCCTTTTTTGACCTTATTATCTTACATATCAGGACGATTGCCACCAAATGACAGATTGCCTGTGTATATAGAAACAAAATAGACATACAGTAGGTGACTTTGGGGCAATTAGAAGGATAATTTTTGTTACATTTAATGATAAATTCATAGAAACAGTTTAATGGGATAATTCATTCAGTCATGTGAATTCAACGCTGATGAACTTTAGAGAAAAGTTGTGCATATGGCCAAAGTATGCCAAACTTGTATATTTTCCTTGAGAAGGAAAATTGCATGTTTTTAAACTTTTAGGAAAAGGTGCTGATTTGGGCCAGAATTTGTAGAAATTATCCAGTGAATGTTGATGTGAAGACTTCGAACAATCATTCTGTCATGATAGTAAGGGGATAAACCAGAACTTCTGATCTATCCATTGTTTTATGTCTGTTAGTTTTTGAGTTCTTCTTAGTAGAGTGGCATAAGTCATCACAGGAGGTTGAAGCTTGTTCTCAAAACATTTATCAAAACAAGTTTGAAAAAACAACTTCTAAAAAGACTGTTACTCGTTTATCTTACATTTTATACCGTGCAAATTCCTGCATCCTCCCTATGAATCTCAGTGACTGTTGGCTTGTGAGAATTTCTTTCACTGTAGCATAAAATAATGCTTCTTTTCAGTTTTTCTTTCTATCATTGTGTTTAAACCACTAACACTGCACGTGGCGTGTTTTGTTTCTCAGCTTCCGAGTGGTGTGTAAAGAGAAAGCTAAATTCTGTTTCTCTGGGTGGGGGTGGAGGGGAAAGAGAAGCAGCACGGAAATTTGCCAGAATTCAGATGCACTATTTCTAAGTGGCACCGGCTCTCTGCCATGGCTCCTTACGAAGGGCCTGGATCCCTAACCTGAATGTGCGCCTGTGCGGTGTAACATGCGTGGCAGAGACCAAGCTAACAGGAAGGTGGATTTTTCTGTCACATACACAGGGACAGCATATTGAAGGTATTTCCAATTGTTTACATTTTGTAGTTTTGAACCAGATGTAACTGATAGGTAGGAGCATTTTTAAATGATTGAAAAGAAATTTAACACTAGAGCAAAATGCTTTATTCACTATAACGTGCCACATGGGTAAAGTGTTAGTGGACAACAACTTGAATGACAGTGAAAGGCCACAAGAAGATTCAGAGCTCCTGATGGTATAGCGTTTGTCTGTTGGACCTCTCATTAATTAATAGATACTTTTGATTCTCCCATCTCACTTAGAAATTGATGTGGTAGCCAACATTGACATGATTTATCTATTCCAATACTAATTCCTCACTGTTTTTAATTTGGGGACAAGACTTGGGGATGGAAAGGGGGAAGCAGGTTTAATGCAAAGTGATGGTTTGAAATGTAAACAGTGAAATCATCCGGGACACATTTCCACAGCAAACGTGAGGCAGTGTGCTATTGTAAAAGCGTTTAAAGATACCAGAACAGACACACACATGTGTAAAGGCTGTTTAACAGAATATGATGCCAAAAATCATGGATATGTGTTCCTATGATAACTGTTAACTGAGTTTAGTACATTAACCTTTTAGTCTTCTATGTGGATTTCCTCAGAATCATTTATTTTTGTCCAATTAGGAAATAAAATAGGGGTGGAGCATGGCTGCATCTGGTTACTTTTTATCCTGGATGTGTGTAAACAGATACACATTTGTATATTTTTTGCAGAGGCTTCTAAATATACATTGTATAAAAGTTGTACAGTTAACATAAACTCCAGAAAAGAAATTCCAACATAACCATTTTCCCTTGCTCATTGTCTGTGTGTGTATTTGTATGTCAGTCTGTCTTTCTTTCCTTCTTCTTCAGTATTTACAAGGACCTCTAGGGCCATTGCCTTAAAACAGCAGGATGGTCAGCCTCTCTACACGGGTGACCCAGCGGCAGAAGAAAAAAGAAAAGTATCAGACTTTAGAAATCGCATTCAGGTTAAAGGGCACCGGCCATCCTGGCTTGTATTCTGCCTAAAGGACAAGGCTTTCATTTGATAAAGATCATTAGTCACCAAGATATATATTTTAGAGTTCCCAGCAGTGAATATTCGGTTGGCAGCCGCTGGAGTGTACCAGATGGCTCATTAGCATAGGCTAGACAAGTCAGAGGCTTTCAGAATCACTTAGAAAATGTCAAACAGAAACAAGAACCCTGTCACTTTTTATTAGAATTAACTACATCACACCCTGGACACAGATTTCACCTTGGGTCAGAAAAATTAATACAGAATTATATGAATTGTGTAATATACTGGGTTAAGATAGGTCTTTCTCTAGGGACTCATTTGCTGGCAATATATTACGATCCCTGTACTTTAGGAATCCGCAAACCTTTCCTTTTGTAGGATATGAAAAGAGTTGACCTTGCTCAAAATCCATTGGTTTCTAATTGACGTGCGGTATATGCAGAATCTCCACGAGACATTCTGCGAAAGCTCTTTTGTGATCGTTTTCCCAGGAACCACGGTGCGTGGGGCTCACTGAATATTCAGCAGCATATAAAGTATGCTTTATGTCAGGCGGAAAACACATCCATTAATTGAACACACTGCCGTAGCACACAGGAATGAAAATGCCATTGAAACAGTGTGCCCTTTTGTTTGTGTGTTTAATCCAGATGTCAAGAACCTTGAGAACTTCCAGCTGGTGGAAGGTGTCCAGGAACAAGTCAATGCGGCCCTGCTGGACTACACCATGTGCAACTACCCGCAGCAGGCGGAGAAGTTCGGGCAGCTCCTCCTGCGGCTCCCGGAAATCAGGGCCATCAGCATGCAGGCCGAGGAGTACCTGTACTACAAGCACCTGAACGGCGACGTGCCCTACAACAACCTTCTCATTGAGATGCTGCATGCCAAAAGGGCTTAAGTCACAGCCCGTAGGAACTCTGCTTTCAACACAAAAAGAGTTTGGGGGGAGGGGGGAAAACAGGAAGGAAGAAAGAAAATACTCTAGACCGCTCCAAGCAACACTAAGAACTTGGTTTAAAAGATATTCAATTTTAAAAAGGCATAATAATCAAGTACTTAATAGCAAATAAATGATGTATCAGGGTATTTGTATTGCAAACTGTGAATCAAAGGCTCCGTGTCCCCAAAGGATTCCATAGAAAAAATACTGTAATGGAGTGGATTGAACCCACAGATGGATGCCCACACCATGTCAGAATAAAATCGGACAGAACAGTTCTTGTATATTTAAACTGATCTCTGCTGTGAAGAAGTCTAGGAACTGGTCTGTGTTACTGATTAGGCTTACACAGTGGGGCACTTGAGCTCACAGAATTCCTCCATGGTAAAGCTGAACTGACAGTTCTCAAGGGTTCATCAGCCACACGTATCATAGGGCCCCCCTTCCTCCTGAGGACCCAGCCCCTCCTGTGCTGTGATCACAGACTAAGGACTTGAGCTCAGCCACACACTCGAGTAGCTCCAGTTATGAAAAGCCTAACTTTGGGTGTCTGTGTCTCAGACCTGCAAACAGCTAATGAGTCTGTTAATAATGTCAGCTTGCCATTCTAAGTAGGCTCTGAGTTGTTTTGTCACGTGCTCACAATGTTAAAAAAAAGAAAAAAAGTCAGTATCCCTCCTGTGGTCTTAATATAAGCATTCATTAACATAAGGGAAATGACGACAAACCTTTAAAGCAAATGCTCCGTAGTAAATAAAGCAAGCTAGACGTTATTTCTGCTGACATAAGGGAAATGACGACAAACCTTTAAAGCAAATGCTCCGTAGTAAATAAAGCAAGCTAGACGTTATTTCTGCTGTTACTGAACTGTGGCTTTGGCATTACTGAATTTCATAGAAACTTCTTGCCAAAAGGCTTGTTAGGATACATCAGTCTTTTTGGTCGTCAAAATTTATAGTTCATTTAAAAGTAAAATAATGAAATAGTCGCAGTTCTGAGTGGTTGAGAACAACAAGCATGTCAAGCTATGCAAAAAGCAGGGTGAGCTGATTATTGAGTGACACAAGGGTCGTTCTCACTGCAATTGAACGTCCTTTAAACGGGGAGTGAAAAGGGTGATTTTTTACCTATGGGTTGGAAAGATACCAAAGTCACTCAAGTCCCTCCCCAAAAGGGAAAGGAAGAGCGTGCTCCTGAGCTAAGTCATAGACCAAAGTCTGCCATAGAACAAATAATATTGGAGGACAAAGAACTCCGAACAGTGATGTCAGTATTATTAACATGCAAGCCACAGGTATGGAAGTCTTGCCTTATTTCACAATTACGAGGTAGCTGTGCAGACATGGATCAACACTTGTTTAAAATAAAGTATTAACACTTTAAAGTCAAATAAAATACAGTGTTTACATTCTTTAGGTCCTGGGGCAGGGGCGGGGACACAGTGACATTACAAAATAGCTAAAGTGGTAATTTCCGTAATATTATTTTTCTGATTGGTAATTATTTTTTACAGGTTTAATTATTGTATGTCGTGAGACACTAAAATCAAAATGGGAATCTCATTTAGACTTTAATTTTTTTGAGATTATCAGCGGCACAATCACTTGTAGAAAACTGTAAAAAAAATAGAAGTATCTCCTAGTCCCTTAATTTTTTCATAAATGTTTCTGGCTTTTGAATAGTTTATTTATATTGTATATCATAGTTTCAACTGTAGACAATTACGATGCTAATTTATTGTTCCTCGGTCTCACCTTTTGTGTAAGATAACAGCCAAGACTGAAGAAACCAAATATATGTGTTTACTGTAGCATGTCTTCAACTTAGTGGAACATAGTTCAGGGACAGAGAAGGGTCTTAATGAATTAAAATCATTCACTTGATTAAATGTCTGTAAATCTTCATAATTACCATAGTTTATTTAAAATCTGATGTAAATTTTGTGACAAGTAAGTAGCTTCCTCAGTTGTCAAGTAAATTCAACAAGGGTGAAGTCTGACCTGGTCTTCCTTTCCAGACCTTGTAAGTTGTATACCAAAGATATTAGTTCTTACTCCTGTGTGCACAAAGAGGATCATTTCATTATTTTTATCATTCACCTTAATGCTCGTCCGCAAGAAGGGCCTGCGTGAGCCGAGCTGAGCATCCGCAGCCCCTCGTGCAGGGTCTCCGCCACCTGGCTTATCTTCAGGGCCCCGAGCCTAACAAACAGCTGATCAGAGTCCATAGCCCAAGCATTAAACCGAACGGCAGTGTCGCTGTCCCCAGTTAGAAGCCAAGTGGGCTGGAAGACACGTGCGGAGCAAGGCTGGTGTCAGCGGCCGATGCACCAGCTCCGGCAGGCGTGTTGGAACAGGAGGCGGTTACGAGACTGAGGACAGCTCTTTGGAGGGTCTTTTAACATTGCAGAAAACCCCTAATATATCGATTCTGAAAGTCCACATTTTCTTATTTTAAATCTGCAGTACTCCCTACTGAATGTTAAGCCTAAAAAATGTCAACTAGTGGCATGTTGTTGACCTAGTTAATTACACCCTAAGAACAGTCAGAAAGGTGGGCCACAGAGTTCCGTGCACACTGCTGGTGACGGGGACAGAAGCTGGCGAACAACAGTGTGCCGTGGCCAGCGTCTGTGGCCCATTCAGAGTTGGCCAATGAAATGTGTAAGCAGACATCAGAACTGCCTAATCAGTCACTGGATTTATGAGTCAAAGCAGACGCCAATACAGAGGCTTTGGCTCAGCCTGGTCAGTGACATTGGTCTACGTTTGTAAACAGACCATCTGTGATGTCTGAATATTTGTGTTGCACATCTGCAGCTACCTTGGGTTTGAGTCCACGCAGTGCTTAGAGCGTGAAGTCGTTGACGTCTTCTTACTGTATCAGTGAAACCCATGTTGTCATGTCAGTTCTTGCCAGGAATTTCTCAACAGAAATGGAATTTTCTTTCAGTATTTCAATAAATGTTGATATGCCCAGCCTGATCATTTTTAAAAGTTTTATGCTGTCCTCATTCTATCGGATACCGAAGTTCCTAAGTAATGAAGCTATTTGACTAGGAAAGGAGTCAAAAGAATTCCACGCAAGAATTCTAGATTTTCTCTAGAGGGGTCCACTGCTCAGCTGGGTGCTTGAAACGTCAGACTCAGTCTGGGCATCATATTGTTGGACACGAAATAAAGCATTTTATATCATTTATTGTTAGAACTGATCGGCAGGAAATCTTACAGTGTCCAGCTTTTTTACTGAGCTTACTGTGGTCTCATAACTTTCCCACATGCTCTATTAATTTAATTGACCTCAGAAAAGGTATTACTCCCATCTTAACCAGTGGAGGAGCAAGAATTTGAACCTAGGTAGCTTGGTGCCAGGATTCACCCACCTAACCAGTATACCACACTGTCTCTAAACCAGGGTAATCCAAGGGGATTTGCTTCAAAAGGAAAAGATGAGGGAAAATCAGAAACAACCTCACTACCAAGCATGCAAATATCGATAATTTAGAAACACACAAGCCTTTACACTTTCTGGAATTTAACCCTAAAAAGTAATGTGTATGTTCTGGAAATCAGGCTCCTTCGGTATCACTGAGTCTTCTAAGATGTTTAGAGCAAGAAAATAGGTACAAAAACCATTTTGGAATTTAGCGACTACCATCACAAAATAGTGCCAGAGCCACAGAGCACTTCGCATGCCTGTGAACCTAGGAGATCCAACCTCTTCTCACCCCCACCCTTCCACCCCTACCAACGCGGAGATACAGACGAGTCATCCCTTTGCTGAGCAGACAATTTCACCTTAAGATTGAGTAGGTTACAGAACTGAGATTTTATAAGTACCTGCAAAACACTTTCTTGTCGACCACTTACTAGAAAGAAGTTTTAACAAGTTACTCTTTCTGGTAGTCCATGGGATTTGAAAAAACTCATTTAATTGAACAGTAACTTAAAAAAAGTGCACAGCTTGATACACTTATCATATGTATACACCAGGGAATCACCCAGATCAGCAAAAGAGAACAAATTTTTAAGATATGCTTTTTAAGTGGTCATAAACATTTTTAAAGAACGTGGAGAGGGAGTTTCTCCGAAGCCCAGGCCTGCCCTCAGCCAGCGGAGGTCATTCCCGTAGGAGCAGAGGCTTCCCTTCCAGCAAGTAGAATAACACAGAGTCGCTAAATCTGTCGGCATGAGGCAGCGCCTGAGAAAAAGCAGCTCGTGCTGATGTGCATTTGATTGTTGTATTTGATATTCACAATAACTTTGAAGAGGTTTGTACCTTTAACTGAGTCTGACGTTCAGTTTGAAGCCACCTCTGATGTATATTTTTATGAGAAACATGTGGGGAGTTAGTTCCACATGACACAGGTCAAAATGCTACAATACTGAGTGATCCTGACATTTCCCTGGAATAATAAAGACCAATTTTCCTTAACACTGAACAGGAAGTGTATAGTTCAGTCACTCAAAATAAATATTCTTGCCATACTGTAACTTTCACATAGGCATTTGTTTTATGTTAAGTTTGAATTAATAATTCTGTGGCCGACAGCAGGCTGGGTCTGTGGTTTTGTTTGTAGAAAAGCTGAGAACCAGTCTGCGAAACACTGCGCTGAATCGTTGGCTAGGCAAGAGGCAAAGGGGTGTGACTGACCCTGGAAGTGAGTTAGACGCTAAGTGACGGAGAACCCAGTGGACTTGCCAGGCAGGGCTGGACCTCCAGCCCCGACTCCCGAGCCAAGGTGGGCGTGGATCAGACCCTAGGCGACCCCAGGAGGTGCTGGGATCCCAGGCCAGACCCCTTAGGACACTTGACCTGAAACTCCTCAGGACCGTGTTGGGCAGGACAGCTAAGGGGAGATGCAGGGGGGGCGGGGGGGGCCTTCCCAGGTGACAGTGTGTTGACACCTGGTTTGCGTCTAACTCTGGACCTTCGCGGAGCATGACACCCCTGCACTGGATGCCGCAGCAGCCCGTCCTTGGCAGCCTGCTTGCGCCCCACCTCTAGGATGAAGCCTAGCCCAGTGAGCCCTGACTGGGCCAGTGCCTCCCAGCACCTTAGGATCCGGCGCCCCGACTCCCAGGGCCCCGGCCACCGTGCCTCACGGCTCCTTCAAGCCCCCTCCCTCCTCCCGCGTCCCCATCGTGTCCGCGTCCCGCAAGCTGCTTTTCCTAACTGTCAAATCGGTCCTTCCCCTCCCGCCCTGCAGCTCAGCGCAGCCCTTGGCATTTCTTCAAAATGCAGCCCCAGCCCCAGGCCGGTCTCCTGCTGTCAGTCTCAAGTCCCCAAACGTCCCTCAGGACCGCTGGCTACACCGCCTTCCTGCCCCAGAGCTGAGCAGGTGGTTCCCCTCCCTAGTCCTCCAACGCCCAGGAAGCCCGCCCCCACCTGCAACAGGGCACCCCAGACCTTGCAGCACAGCCTCTGCTGGCGTGCCAGCTGCCACACCCAGCGTGTCCCAGCCACACGAAGCTGCTCGCCGGCCTGAGCAGCCTGCTTCTCAAACCTCGACCCATCCCTGCCTGTCCCGTGGCCTGGCATGCCCAGCTCAAGGGAGAGCGTCCTGGCGGCCCCCCAAGCCCAGCCAGTGCACCCCGTCAGGGGCCGGTGCCTCAGACCTCTGCTGCGACTCACCTCTAGTCTCGTCTGTTTGCCTG